CCCCCCCCCCCCCCCCCCCCCCCAAGAAGTTGAAGGATAAGAAGGCGGTCCTCAACATCCAGAATGAGGACGAAAAGTGTTTCCTGTGGTCAGTACTAGCCGCCAAACAGCCTGTGGACCGATGAGACCACCCACACCGTATGCAACATTACACTAGGTATGAACCGGAACTAAACATGGATGGGATAGAGTACCCCGTCAAGATCACTCAGTTGAAAAAATTCGAGAAACAGAATCCAACCATAAGCATCAACGTGTTTGGGTACAAAGATGATGAACTGTTTCCCCTATACATTACCAAGGAGAAAAAAGAACTGCACGTCAATTTGTTACTATACTCCGAAGATGACAAAAGGCATTATTGTTTGATTAGAGACTTAGATCGATTTGAACATCGCATGTACCTTTGTGTACATAAGTCTCGATGCTTTTTACAGGTATTGGAAAAAAATAGAAATATATAGGAAAAAAATGAAAAGATGTACATATATACATATAGAAAACATATTTCAAAATAATAATCATAATAATAATAATGCAATACGTATAATATTTATACATCAAAGTCTGTATGTACTTTTAAATAAAAATGTCTTAAGTTTAGTCTTGAAAATGTCAATAGAACTGGAAGCTTTAACTTCCTCTGGCAATTGGTTCCAGAGCTAGGCGCTGTCACATACCAAAATGCAATGTCTCCATATGTTTTCGATTGGGTGCGTGGGACAGCCAAGAGGTCCTTGTTGGTGGAACGTAGAAAACGTGACATTTTGTATTCACTCAGAAGACACTTTAGGTAGCCAGGTGCAAGGCCATTGCGTACTTTCTGAGGTCAGCAATAAGATCTTAAATACAATGCGATCAGCAATGGGAAGCCAGTGCAAACTACATAGAGTGTCAGTGATGTCCACTACATCAGGTTTCGGCCTATTAACTACCCTTGCCGCGGCATTCAAAGCTTTCTGTCATCTGTCAAGATCGAAATGGGGAAGGCCGTAAAGGATGCTGTTGCATTGGTCTAATATTGTGGTGAGACGCAAATCATTTGACATATACTTCTTAGTCTTCAGTATTATTTTGGCCTTCGAATTCTTTAATTATTGTCCATTTTGTTTTGATCCATTCAGGTTCTTTAGCTGCTCACTAGCCTGAGAGAAGAAGACCGGAGGGCGGCTTTGCAGACTAGTTGCTCACGAGAAGTTATTTCACACCGCTGTAGTACTGTGAGAAGAGTTTAGCTGCTTACGTGTAAGTGTCTAGGATAGTTATGGGAAGTCATGGGAAAAGATATATAGAGATTCATCTTTCAGACTGTATGCCGATCTGTTGATATATTAAGTTTTGCTGTTTATAAATACATGGTTGCATGTGTCTGGTTGGGCACCATGCTTTGGACAGTCAACAACCATGCGAATTAACACAATACTAGTTAAATGGCTAGTTAAGATGTATCGTAGAACTAAAACAAGAAGGATTTGTTGAACACCAAGCTACAAGAAGGAAGTAGAAGGAAGCCGTTCAGATCACGCTCAGGAATACTGTATCTAGGCAACGAGTACTTCACAAGAAGCTTTACTCATTAAAGATCTTCAGAATATTATGRATCAAATTAAAACATAACCGGCAGCTAAACTAGAAATAATAATATAATACTAAAAATAGATTGATTTAAAATGATAAACGACAGTATACTCAGAGATACTTTTCTTATACTGCTATGGCTAAACCTGTGTTGAAAATACATAAATGTGATACATATGTGGCGTATCCTTCTAAAAAAATATTCTTGGGTACCCTATGGTTTTTAAAACAAACTTTTCGCTTGTGTTTCAAAAGTAAATATCAAGGACCATAATATTCCTTATGTTATGTCCAACACAAGTAGAAAATGAATATAATGATCGTTAGGAATCGTTTCATTACTAATAGCAAGTTATGATATTTGAATGATATAACATTATGTTGGATATATTGGCCTTAATCGCAGTTAAATGGAATTGTATTCTCGGCTGACAATGCAAATAAACTAGGATTAGTGACGACAGTCTTTCAAGTTTCTTATCAAAAACATTCTATAAAAAAGCATTGTCACGGACCACTGCTATTGTAAATGTATTATTCCTTTCAGTTTGTAGAGAACACAGAGGTGAGATAGCTCTTCAGCCTCTGAACTATTATAAGCAGCTTCCATCACTTGGTTCCTGTGAATGTGAGATTGGAATAGTTTGGAACTCAACATCAAAGGCATTTTGTACATCAGCCTTATGAAGGATCTTCCTCAAGAGAAGCAAAATGACGGTGCTCAAGAATCCAACAATAGCTTYAAAAAGTCTCTAAATCTTGCATATTTTCAGGATCCTAAASATGATCATCGACAGGACAAGGAATTAGTTTCGTATTTGTACGAACCAAATGATAAAGAAGATGATGTTTCGAATCAAATCCCGAAGAAACAACGTGAAAAGTGGAGCAAACTTGCATTTTGGTTATCCATCTTTTCGATGTTCGTTTCTATATTGTTCAGCCTGGCTTCTTTTCTCGTCTCATACCAAACAGATAGTTCTTCAGTATTTGCTAGCGCCTTTGATGCTCTGTTGGGGACTGTGAGCTCACTCGCTGTAGCTTGGAGGTTCAGGGATTTGCTCAACGGWGGTACACGTGGTCGCAAGAGAGAACGAATCGCTACCATTGGGATTGGTTTTGGCTTTGTAGCAACTGGAGTTGCAACTGTGGCTGATAGCATTATTCACCTTACAGATCATACCCACCCCATTAAAACAAATCAGATGCTCATTGTTCTCACGTGTAGCCTGGTMGGTTTTCTAACSTTRTCYTATGGACAAACATGTCTAGCTAAGAAACTCAATAGCCAGTCTCTGCGAGCTGCTGGTGCTGACAGTGCTCTYGCTGCTGCGATGTCATTCGGGATTCTGCTTTCCACGTTTGTATACCGGAGTGCTAATACCTTGTGGTGGCTTGACCATTTTATAGCATTATTTCTCGGAGTTATTTCAGGGGGATATGGTTTGCATTTGTTCTTGCTAACTGTCATATGCAACAAGGAGTTGTTTGGTGAACAGTATCAAGAAGAAAAACCTTTAAACGAGCACGGCAGTGATTGATAAGTATGTGTAATAGTGCAGTTAATATTCAATATACTAATCACAGTTTACCACTGCGTGTCATTTGTTTGGGTATAATTATTCCTTTACCCGACTCTCAATTTATACATATAATATATATATATATATGTTCTTTATTCAGAAAAAATCTCCTTACACTGAAATAAACCGTGTAGTTTTAATTGGCGAACGGATTTAAGTTATTTATTTCAGCGACCAAGATTATACAGTTACTTTAGCATTCAAACCAGCCTATTTGAATCTATTACCAAGTTYACTTGAAATTAAAACCAAAGTAAATAAGCTTAACCTTCCAACAATAGCAAGAATTTCAAGAATAAGCTAATATATATTTGCATATTCAGGCCCCTCGAAATGACTTATTTCAACGGGTTTCTTGAGTTCAAAAGATGATTAAATTGTACAATTAATTGAAAATTCAAACCTTTCTTCTCTTTCATTGTATAAAAAAGAAGTATGTACTAAATCAAAATTTCGTATTTTCAGTAGGCTTTCCGTCTTTGCAGCAGAAAGTGACGYGTTGAATTTAGTATTAGTGATGTAAGTAGTGTCGTAGTGCAGAAGCAAATTCCAGTTGGGTGAAACGCGATGGTACCCAAGCAATAGACGTTTTGCACTAATAGGTCACGTGATGATATCCGCCATTGTGGCTGGCATTTACAGGATTTTAGCAAAAAATATTGGTTTTTAGTCATTGTTTTATGGCGCATGCGTCTGCAATCAAACAAAACAAAATCTTCAGTGCCCCACCCCCGCAAAGATTTTTCTAGTCCCCCCCCAAGATTTTTAGATTCCGCCGCCCCTGGTATTAACGTATCAAGAGGTATAAAAACTCTGGCTTGTTTTAAACCATTAATTGCAGAGCCAACTTTCTTACATAACTTTTCAATATGTAAGTCCYAATTTAGATTTTGACCTAAAACACCAAGGTGTTTAGAAAAAGTTACCYTTTTGACCTCTTAATCCTTGATCATAACAAGTGCAGAAATTCCCAAATTTGAAAGCCGAGAAATAGATCCAATTAATATGTATTCAGACTTAACTACATTCAAACTCAGCTTGTTAGCCAATACAGCCAACAACTGACACGATTGGCCGAGGGAGATTGGTTACGAGTCAAAAGTCCCTGGGAGAGGGGACTGGGGAGGGAAGAACAAAAGGAAAATAGAGCCCAAAATAGGTTGCTATCAWTAGACGTCACTTCCGGAAATAGCTCTTTTTTGATTGCTTGTAGAATCCTGGAGGTTGTTTTGATCTCTTGTTTTCTGATTTGATGTCGTGAAAATAGTCAAATACAATAGTTTGAGRACTTATTTTGAYATGTTTTGACTTARCATMCGCTAGTTGCCCCHCMGTCWACMGCTTGTTTGCCCCCHAGTCAACTCCAAAAAGTTACGTGATTGATAGTAAGCAATAGAGGGAATGCCGCCTTAACAAAAGGCCGATGGCCCATTAYACAAAAGGCCGATGTCAAGATAAGACAGTCCCCGTCCATCAAACTYAAAAGTCTTGGGATTCAAGGCAAAAGACGCTAGTTTAAAAGATATTAGTGAGAACAAGTTTCCATGATTTACTCGTCTGCAGAACAAGCTTTGTCATCAGAAGTTCTCGCAATATTGAGAGAYGAGTTTTCCAGAGTTTCTTATCTTTAGTGCACACTTGGAACATACTCGGGATGAAAGATCAACACTGTTCTCCGGATAAATTTTTAAAATTTTAACGATTACATCGCGTGCGTATTTGGAAATGAAATGTGAGTGATTTRTTCAATGAAATTAAACATTTTTTTAATTATACGAACGGCTCAGCTTTGAATAAATCGGAAGTCCAAATACTGCTATGCATTTTACTTAGTACAAGTAAAACATTGGACCCTAACGAACTCTTCATGTCTGTAAGAAGTATCCAAAATAAGAGGTTTCATATTAACTCTAACCATTTTAAATCAAAATATTTTTAAACGGCGATACGTGTTACTTAAACCTAGACGCTCAACGGCAGAGAGATTCGATTCGTTCATGTTCTTCAGATAGTGAGATTAGTACATTTACCATTRATTTATAAGAAAAATCCCTCAAAAATACTCCGTAGAACAAGCGAACAATGCTTCCAATTCGATTCAGTATGTTCAGGAGAACCTCTAGAATAATTTTGAAAACAAACGAACAATGCTTTCCTTATTTAGATGAAGGGGACAGGGTAGTTTCCTTATATGGAGATAGCGCGTCATCATCTGGCATCAAGGTTAGCACGATAAAATTGTACTTACGGCCTACCCCCTAAATATTTAGTAAAGCAGAATACAACAGAAAATGGTCTCCCTGTGTTAATGACGCCTCTGCGGTCTTTCCTAATAAGATATTGCAGGCTCAGCAATAACAAAGATCGCGAGTTTTATCGAAGGAAAAGGAGGTAAAAAGACTATTGTATTCATGTTTAGTCATTGGAGACTTACATAAGAATCAATAAAATATGGATAGAAAGATCCAAGTGAGTAATTAGTGATTTATTTGGTCTACTAACAAACATTTCCCCCGTCACAAACCAAAAATTCTCCTACAGCTCATGAAACTGTCTTTCTTCTTTCTTCTCACTTCGCATGGAATTGACATACAAACGTCACTGCGCATGACATTGACGGACAAACCTGTATCGATTTATTTTGTAAATATTAGAGCTTGGACGATGAAACTGTCTTCTTTCTGCGTATGGCAGTGACGTACGAACCTCACTGCGCATGACATTTATGTACAAACCTGTATCGACTCATGTAAGTCGACTTCATACAGTTTTGGGGTTAAAACATTGAAATTCAGTAAAATATTGCCCAATCRCTCCAATGTTTTGTGTTAAATAGTGTTATCAGTGTGCAACATCCGAATTCCGATCATTTTCAGYACGGTTATAGTATTGCCCCCTTTTAACCCTAACCCTGAATGACCTGAGTGTATGTTGGAAATTGACGYATTGAAAAAGGTAAGGAAGTTATCGTCCAAGAAAACGCGAGATCGGGGCCTGGTTCACGACGCCCGAGAGAACGAAGGTAGGCCCAGAAATACCAAGTGTTCTAAAGGAGGAGTATGTTGCTGAGCCCGCAATATCCCATTAGGAAAAACCGCAGAGG